AGAAAGCAAGCACATAGGAACTTTATACTCTCTGCTGCTCTGAAAGGATTTCTGCGAGAACATGAAGAAACCCCCCCCCATCTCCCCATAGGAAATTCACCCTCAGTCATGCACACGCAGGCGGCATCTGGCAGCTGGGGGAAAGCAGACTCAATAGATGAGCTTATTTTGAAACTCTCAAATCTCAAATCCATGCCTAGTTTCTCAGAACACTCTTTTTTTTTTTTTTAAGGATTTATTTATTTATTGGAAAGGCGGATATGCAGAGATGTGGAGAGACAGACAGGAAGATCTTCCATCCGATGATTCACTCCCCAAGTGCGCGCAATGGGCTGATGCTATGCCGATCCAAAGCCAGGAGCCAGGAACTTCTTCCAGGTCTCCCATGCGGGTGCAGGGTCCAAAAGCTTTGGGCTGTCCTCTGCTTTACAGGCCACAGGCAGGGAGCTGGATGGGAAGTGGAGCTGCCGGGATTAGAACCGGCGTCCATATGGGATGCTGGGCGCATTCAAGGTGAGGACTTTAGCCACTAGGCCACGCCGCCAGGGCCCAAAACACTCCTTCATGAACTTCTTATAAACCTCTCGATGCTCTTCTAATGTATCTGTGTTTAGCAGCTGTTTTTCCTACACCCCGAGATCACAGAAACGCTCACCTGATCTATTCTCAATTCATGAGGCCTTAAAGCATGGCTTAGGCCTGGATTCAATCACCTGGGGGCCGGGGCTGCTCACTGAGAGCTGGCTGTGCAGTGTGACTTCCACGATTTTTTTTTTTTATAAAGAAAACAGAACCTACTATTTGTGGAAAATCTAAAAAAGGAAAAAGGAGAAAAGAAAAAGGTACTGGCAACCCACAAGAAACCTCAGTTACCATTTCCGGGATATTTCCCACACAAGGCCGTGACATGGAGCCTGGGTCCTTTATTACTGAGGGCTGGCAAGCTCTCTCTGTGTGTGTGTGTGTGTGAGAGAGAGAGAGAGAGAGGGAGAGAGATCTTGGCCTCCCTTGCTTGGGGCCAGCATGGTGGCAGAGGACACTATTCCTCTACCTTTGATACCAGCATCCCATATGGGCACAGGTTCATGTCCTGGCTGCTCCACTTCCCATCCAGCTCTCTGCTTATGGCCTGGGAAGCAGCAGAGGATGGCTCCTGGCTCCTGGCTCCCAGCTCCTGGGTTTGGATCAGCTCAGCTCTAGCCATTATGGCCATCTGGGGAGTGAACCAGCAAATGGAAGATCTCTTTGTAAGTCAAATAAAATAAACAAAAAGATTGCGCAACCTGCAGGAAGCATGTACCCCTGCTCTGGGACACTGAGGTCACTTTAATTCTGCTACAGCGAGCTGAGTCAGCATCCTGCCCAGGATCACGTGGCTTCCAGTCAAGTCCTTCCCTGAAGTACCAGCATCTGGCTTCCCAGGACTTGGAATGGGACATCCGGGGTGTGTGTTGGGTGGGTGCCCCTGCGCACCTAGGCCTCGGCTGCACATAGCTACATGAGCCAGGAGCACGTGCAGCTGGAAGGGGGGGCCGCCTCCAGGCAGCGGTGTGGTTGAGCCCTGCACCTCACTGGGGGATGCTGCCCTGGGCAGCTCACACTGGGCTGGAGGCTCAGGCGGCAGAGTGGTGAGCAGAGGGTGGACAGGGACAGGATGGAGTGGAGAGCCTGCCCCAGGCCCAGCTCCTTCTGGAAGAGAGAACGGAAATGTCTGCAGACAAGTAAGTAATTCCAAGTGGGAAACAGGGAACCCTGCAGGGCTGAGCCACGGCCTTGGGAAACCAACAGACTCCCTGGTGGAGGCAGAGGGTGCCACCCAGACCCATAAAACCAGGGGTGGGGGAGAGTGGACATGGGATCAGAAATGCCAGCCTGGCCCTTCTCCAGGTCTTGCTCACAGCCTCAGTGCTAACACGGACGTGGGAGGGGCTGGCTGGGAGGCTGCAGGAAGAGCAAAAAGCTCAGGGTAAAGTTCTCCTTGCTGGGACCTGCTGCCCGGGCCTCCAACAGGGCACAGGGAAAGGGCACTTCCTTTACCAGCCTGGGCTCCACGACCGAGACCCACGGTGGCAGGTCAGGTGATGCCCAGCTCTGCCCGGCAGGAAGCATCCCAGGGAGGGGGCGGATGTCCAGGCAGGAGATGCCAGCATGATAGATCCCAGGGATGGGGGCAGGGGCTTAGCTGCCACTTGCAGGGCTGGCATCCTTCAGGCAAGTGCTATTCCAACCCAACCTCCTGCAGAAGCACCCGGGAAGGCAGCAGAAAATGGTTCAAGTGCTTGGGCCCTACTACACACGGGAGACCCAAACAGAGTTCCTGAGTCCAGGCCCCCCAGTGGGGCTGGGAAGGGAATCAGCAAATCTCTCCACCCCCTTGTCATCCTGCCTTTCAAGTCAATCGGTGATCTTTGAAAAAGCAAATTGAAATAAGTGCAGAATTGTAGAGCTCATATTCAAGCTGCCCCAGCCCCTCCAGACTCCTTCCCTGGAAATACCAGCTGAGTGTTTCTAACCATCTGGTCTACCTTGAATGTAAGATGGTAACATGAATCACAGTGACAGCTTGATGTGTTTAATGCGCAATGGGCGTACCTAGGGGCTGGAGAGACACCGCTCACAGAAGCTGAGACCCAAGAGGTCTGTTCAGGAGGCAAGGCACTGTGCTCAAGGACCCCCTGATCCAGGTGGCCAGCCAGTGGCGCCAACACCAAGGTGGTCACTACAGGGACCCCCACCCTTGCACACAGTCTAGAGTCCCAGCCACACGGCCAGGGCTCCAGAGAGACACTGCCCAGGCGACCTCCAGGGGCTGCCAGACATAGACCTGGTGCCAGCAGGCTTCATCCTGTGGCACTTTGGCCATCCCAGCCCTGCCCGGTCCAACCTACAGGCTCTTGTGAGCTGGGCTGGCTGCCACCCAACCACTGCCATGACATGGCATGGCACCTGCAAACCCACAGCTGGAGGGAGCCTGGGGCCGCAGGGGAGCTCAGGTTCTTCCCAGCCTGTCCTTCCCCAGCTGAGCTTCTGAGCCAGGGAGCTTCCGGCTGAATGCTGAGGTAGAAATGGGGGTCCCGTGTTAGGCAGTCCCTACTGCTGAGGAGCTGGGGAGAACCAGAACCAAGGCTGGGGATGGGCCAGGCTGGACACAGTGGTGGCACCACTGGCAGGAGGTCAGGCAGAGCTAAGCCTCAGCACCTGAGGGTGTGTGTGAGCGCCTGTTGGGCTGTGCTGGGCTAGGCTGTAGCAGAGGCCTGGTATACACAAAAACTGAGGCTGGGGACATACCTGGTGGGGGTTATTGGAGGTCACCCCAACTGGGCCACAGCACCTGCTGTATGAGGACCAGGTGTGACAGGCTGGCTGGGCTGGGCTGCAGCACCCATTGGTTTGTGTGAGATATAGGGCTGGGGTGGGACTGACCGTGCACTAGATGGCATATGTAAAAGTTGAGTCTGAGCTCAACTCAGGTGAGGAGACTTGGGAGACTCCCTGACTGACCACTGGACTCAGACCCTGGCCACAGGATGTACAGTCTGACCTTGGGGTGCATGTATCGGAACTGGGCCTCCTCAGTTGCTGATGCCTGTGTGGTAGACGGCATGCCCAGATGCACACAGGTGACATGGCAGCCAGCTCGTCTAGGCCAGCAGGGGGCAGTGAATGCCTCATCAGAGGAAAGCAGAACAGGTTGGACAACTCTCCTGGCCAAGCTCTGGAGCAAGAGGCACTACGCCGGACTTTATCAACTAGCAGACCTTGGAAAGATTTCCTCAGCCTTGGAGCAAAGAAACCAACAACATCTCAGAGCTATGCAAACCATTCAAATAGCCCCCTCCATCACTCTTCCCCAGAAGTCATCCAAGGACCGTCCCATATTTCCTGGTAAAGTACTGACATAGCCAGACAGCCAGGAGCCCTCTCCTCTCCTCTGGACACAGGAGAAAAAAAAAACACCCACCTTCCTCCGAGTCTGACCCTCCCCACCCTAATAAGACCATATGGTCATGCGTCGCTCTCAGCTATGTAAACAATACTTATAAATAATAATAACGGAGGACCTGGCCTCCAGCCTGAGGAGTCAGGAGGCAGCAGGGACTGAGCCCCAGGTGTGTCCGCCTTTGCTTCCTGGGTTCAGGGGGTCACACACAGCTGACCTCAGAGGCAGCTTGTACTCCCACCGCTGTGGGGGCAGCCAGGGCACCGTCCCTGCTGCCCTTCAGGTCCCAGCCTCTTCCCTCTCCCTGTGTCCCTTGATGGGGCCCTGCACAGAGCAGAGGGAGGCGCTGCAGGCCTCCATGCCCTCTTGGAATAACCACAGCTCAGGCTGAGAGGTGGTGTTCTGGTGGGCGCAAGATGCTCCCTGGCTGGTTACCCCCACCTGGCTCACTAACCCACAGGGGATCCACCCCCACACCAAGCCCCCCCCCCCCCCCCCGCATGACGGATGGCACAGGCAGGGGGAGTCAGACTCCACGATTTATTAGGGTGACAGCAGAAGCAGAGGCGGGAGGCAGAGCAGCCGCGTGATCAGCGGCAGATAAATTAACCGCAGTGCAGGGCTGGGGCTAGGACCTGGGGCAGGTGCTTCTGTAAAAAAAAAATCAAAACAAAACAAACAAACGAAAAAGAATGACAGACAGACCCCAAGAACATGGGGCAGGACAGCACCATCCAGACAGCAGGGAGGCCAGGGCAGAGATGCAAGGCAACAGGAGCCCCTCGTCCTGGCCCCCCTCAGCTCAGGGTCCCGGAATGGCCCATGGAGGCAGCCAGGCTGGGGAGAGATGGCACAGCTGGCGGGCAGGAAGCCCAGCACCACAAGATGGTTCAGCCCGACACGGGGGGGGGGGGCTGGGGGCTGCATCGCAGCAGCCATGAGCACCTGGCCCTTGGAGGAAGAGCCTCACCCTCGGTGAGGGGGTCGGGCAGGCGGGTGGGGGTCTCTCCCTGAGCTGAGCGCAGTCACCTCACCGCAGCAGCGCGGGCGGTGGGGTGTGCCGGGGAGACCCCGTCACCTTGCCTCTTTTGAGAGGGCAGCATGGACAGTGCCGGGGCGGCTCTCAGCCCTGACTCCCACAGGAGGACAGTGAGTCATACAGAGAGTCGCTGAGGGACTCCGAGGTCTCCAGGCCCGTGGGGCCCCCGCTGGCCGCTCTGCCTTCCTCGCCCATGTCCGATGTGCTGGGGGTGCGGCTGCCCCCAAAGGCCGGGCCTTGTGGTGGAGGGGATGAGCGGCTGGGCTCCAGGCTCCGCTTCCGCTCCACGGGCAGGGCCTGCCAAGGAGACGCAGCAGCTGGGGGCACCGCCTGCCCCTCCGGCCCTGCTGACAGGGCTAGGGCACGCTTCAGAGGCCCTGGCCAGAGGCCAGGGCAGTTCTACTATGGCGGCAGGCTGACCGGCTGCGTGGATTTCCCTTATCCGTACCCCTGCCCACACCACACCACACCACCCTCTCTGCCGCTCTCACCAGGGGGGTCCTGGGCAGCCCCTCTAGCTGTCGGGGTGGGCACAGGAAGGGGTCCGAGGAGCTGCTGGCTGCCCGTGTGTTGGGGAAGGTCCAGTTCTTGGCCAGTTGCATGGGAGGGGGAGGGCCTGGGTCTTCGCAGGTGTCTGTCCAAGACAACCGGAAGGCTGATGTGACTGTCTAGCTTCCCGGGGAGCCCCCGGTCGGCCCACCGCCAGCTGACACTCACCATCTGGACACGTCTGATGGCCACGGTGGCTTGGGGTGGCAGGCAGCAGTGCAGGGAAGGCTGGCAGGCTGGGGTGCCGCCCGCTCACCAGGAGCTCCTCTATGCCTGGCACCTCCCGCTCTAGCGTGTGGGCGCGCCGGGGGACTTTGGTGAGGGGTGGGGGCCGGGCTGGGGACACCCCAGCAGGAGGCTCCAGCCGAAGCGGCTTGGTTTTGGGGAGGTTCTTGCTGGGTGTCCCACAGCTGCCGTGGTCCGGGGGTGGGAAGGTCCCGATGCCACTGTCCAAAGTTCGGGTCAAGGAGCTGCAGACTGGGAGGGGACAGAACGGAAGGTCCAGGACTGAGGGCACGGCTTTTGGCCACAGCCTCCACCCCTGAGCAGAGGGCTCCCCCCCAGTCCACCCCCTGCTTGCCCTGGTCTTGGGGAGGGCACAGATGGGATCTTCCCCCATGCGGAGTGCCTGGCACCGAGGGCCTGGCTGCTGCTATGACCATGGCAGGCAGGTGTGACATGGGAGGATCCTCCTCCCTCAGCCCCCTCTCCTGCCCACCTGTGAAGTGTGAGGTGGGCACCGGCTCGGCCAGGCTGTCTTCAGAGGGCATCTCTTCCCGCCGCACTGGCTCACTGTTGGGCTGTGTGGGTTCACAGGGTCTGAGTGTGCTGTTCTCTCAGCAGCTCGCTTCCTGCACTCCAGGGAGGGCCCCAGGAAGCGGAGGGCCCCAGGAAGCAGCGCCCCCCAGCCCCTCCCAGGATGTACCTGACCATGCCCAGCCCTGGGGGGGGTCCCCTGGAGGACATACCTTCCCAGGAGGCTTCCCACAGCCCTGAAGAGGGCCCACCAGGCCGTTTCGGGGCCCGCAGGCTGGCCAAGGGCTCTTGGGGTTGGAAGACATTGGCTGGAAATCTTGGTACTCGGGTGTAGGCTCCCGCCAGGCTTTAGGTGGCAGCTCCTTGCCATCCACCCTAGGGGTAATGGTGCAGATACAGCCTCATGCCCTCCATGGGTGCCAGGCTTGGCAGCCACTCACTGCCACCCACACAGGGACAAGAACACGGTCCACTCCTAAACCTTCCTGCCCCTGGCACCCCGCCCTTCTCATAGGTCAGTAAGGGCAGGAGCCAACGCTGCCCTGGCCAAGTGCAGAGCCAGTTTCCTGCTCAATGGTGCTCACAGGCTGGCCTACAGTGGTACCCGGTACTACCCTGGTTCCCCATCTGCCTGCTCCAGCCAGGCCTCTGAAACACCTGCCATGCCTCATATGGCCCCCTGGGACCCAGTGCCAGTGCACTTTCTGCCCAGGAGGAGGAGGAGGGTCCCCTTCCCAAGAGATGAGCCCTTTGTGCTGTACAAGCTTCCTCATTTTACCACTAACCCTTCTCAAATGATACCGGGACCAGGCAGGTTTGACGCCACCCAGCCAGCCAAGGCGAGATGTGGTGGAAACCCCAGGCAGCTGATGGAAGGAGCTGGGGCGTGAGCCCCCAGATGAGCTCCAGAGCAAGGCACCCCAGGCCCTCACCTGTTGAGCAGCTGCTGCATGAAGGTGTCTGCGCCCTGGTACATGCCAGCCAGATGGCCCTGCACCTGCCCCAGGCCTGGCCCAGGCCCCCCAGGCCGCGGGCGGGCCCTGCTGCTGAGGTAGGCCCTCTCCTCCTCCAGTGCCCGGCGCAGGTCCTCCGCCTTCGCCATCAGCTTGGAGATGTTGAGGCTCTCGGCCTCGAGCTTGCGTGTTTCTACCTTGACCTCCTTGCGCACCGGGGAGCTCCCGCTGGCTCCGTCCTTGCCCTTGGCGCCTTCCGCACGGCGGTTCAGGGCCGGCAGCTTGCTCTTCTTGAGGCCGAACCAGCTGGCGATGCTGCTGGCGTTGCGGTGCTTGGCCTCGGGGGCCGGGGCGCGCTCCTGGCCCTGCAGACGCAGCACGTTCTCCTCAATGCCCTTCATCACCTTCTCCTCGATGGCCGAGTGGGGCACCGACCCCTCAGGGCCCTGGCTTGGATCCGTGGCAGGGCCAGGCGCTGGGGCTGTGCCTCCCCCATCTGCCCACGGCACAGCCTTCCCCTTGTCGGGCTTGGGGGGCTCCTTGCTGACTGGGGAAGTCCCGGGCCGTGGCAGCACCTTGGTGGGGGACTTGGAGGGCAGCTTTGTGGGGCTGCTGTGCGGGCTCTTGCTGGGCTTGCCTAGGCTGGGCACCGAGGCGGGCACTTTGGCAGGGGGGCGGGGTGCCTGGGGGCACAGGGCCCCTGCCAGCCGGTTCTTGGCCAGCTCCACTTTGGTGAGGCAGCTCCTGGGTGAGACAGGCTCCAAGTCCACCCGGGCGCCCATGGAATATGAGCAGTAGACACGGGCTCCAGGATCAGCCTCCGGCTGTTTCAGGCTATTCGTGCCCAAGGCCACTGCCCCTCGTGCAGCCACCTTAGCTTCTGGCTGTTCAGAAGGCCGGGAGGGCACCGTGTCTCCCGCAGTCTCCCCTGTCCGCCCTGGTCCCCGGGCCTTCTCGGCGCCAGGCCGAATTGCCCCGTTCTTCTCGGGGCCCAGGGGCACTTCGGTCCCTGTCTTCAGCTTCCCCAGGGCCGCCAGTCTGTCCCGCAGAGGCGGATATCCGGCATCTCCAGGTCGGCGTCCTGAACCCTGACCAGGCTTCCTGGCCGAGCCACCTGGGGTCCTGCGGCCAGGGTGAGGGGACTCCAAGCCAGCCTTGTCCAAACTTTTCTCCTGGGGGCTCCCGTAGGGGCAGGGCTCTGGGAGGCCGGGGCTGGAGGGCACCCCAGGGCTCCGGAGACCCTCAGAAGCCTGTGGCACCTCCAGAGTGAGCTGTGAGTAGGTGGGCAGCTCCAGAGTGACCTGCAGGGGGGACGGGGGCAGCTCTGGGGATGGCCCCCTGAAGGTGCTCCGCGAGAGGTCCAGGACGTTGTCATAGCAGGGGGATACAGCTGGCCCGGCCGGCTGAGGGGGTCGGGGCGGTGCGGGGTCTGGGGCTGTGGGGCAGGCTGAGGGGTTGGTCCGCAGGCCCTGTGCTCCCTCTGGGGACAGCTCTCCTGCCCCCAGGCCCCTGCGAGCCAGCAGTGGCGAGGGGCTGCCGTCCGAACCGCTGTTACGGCAGGGGATGCGTGAGTTCCGGGGCAGCTGGGGACTCAGCTGGGGCCCCCCTGGGCTGGGTGCCTTCTCTGGGGCCGGGGGCAGCTTTAGGAACTTGAGGCCTCTGGCCGGAGAGGGAAGAAGGGGTGCCTGGGTCTCCCCAGGAGAAGGAGGCCCAATTTGGAGCTTGCTTTTGACCTGAGATGAGTGGGGGTGGCCGGGCTGTGAGCCCAGGGGGACATCCCCTGCGCCCACAAACATGCTGAAGAAGGGGAGGGAACCCTGGCTCTCTGAGGTAGCACCAAAACCCGGCTTGGGGGCCTCAGGGGTCACCCCGCCCCAGGCTGACTTGGGGAGGCCTTTGGACCTGGGTGGCTGGGAGGGTCCCCGGTCCGGGGAGGCTGGCTGTTGCCCGCCGGTGGCAGCGGGGTGGTCCCCACTGAGTGGGCCCGTGGCCCCTGCCAAGAAAGCCTGCAGATAAGACTCCGTGTCCTCCAGCAGCCGGCCCAGGTTCAGCTGCTTGCGAGCCAGAGCTCCAAGCAGGGTGTCTGGGCTAGGCGCCTCGTTGGGCTCCCCGGCCTCGTCGGATGAGGATGAAGAGCTGCTGCCCGGGGCACAGTGCAGGCCGGCGCCAGGGCCCTGGGCTTGGGGGGCACTCCTGCTGGGGCCCCAGGGCTGCCCTATGCCCTCTCCCTCCCCTGGGCCCCCCAGGAGGCGCTCCCAGGGTAGCAGGCCTCCCAGGCCCCCGGGGCCCAGCAGCACATAGGGAGGCCAGGGAGAGGGCTCGGGCTGTGGTGGGCCGCACAGCTCGCCATTGATGGGCTCGGGGGAGCCAGGGCCCTGGCCTGCAGGCCTCCAGGAACTGGCAGGTGAGCGGAGGAGCAAGGGGTCCGTCTCTTCCAGGGCTCTCAGCACCTCCAAAATCTGGGCTTTCTTCCTCAGGAACGGGCACAGGGCATCCAGTGCCGACGGTGGGGTGGCGGGGGGCCCTGGGCCGCCAGGCCGCAGCTGCTGCTCCCAGCACACCTAGGGGAGGGCCCAGCTTCAGGAGGAGGCTGTGGGGAGGCCCAGCGGAGCGTGACTGCGAGGACCCGGACTGTGAGGACACGGCTGGTCCTGGCACAGCTGCAAGCCTTATAGAGCCCACAGCCCCTGGGACCGGACAGTAGCCTCCTCAGAGGTCACTGAGCCCCAGTCACCCCAAGTCCCCTTCCTGTTCTTGCCTTTTTCGCTCACCCAACCCCCTACCACCTGCCTTATGGATTAGCAGGGCTGACCACTGACAAGAGAGCCCCGTGCTCATCCCAGGACGGAGGCCCGTCTACTTCTCAGGCTCCGAGAGGAACATGGAGACACAAGAATGGGGGCAGCCCGAGACCACAGACCAGCCCAGCTGTGCAGACAGCCAGCCTCACTGGTGGACGGCCTGTAGGAATGACTTCGCACAACCCTGTCCTGCTGGGAGCCAGCATCAGCATTGGCTCAGGTGGTCCTGCCACGGTGCCTCACTCTGGGGCCTGACTGTAGGCTCAGCTCCCAGGCGACTGAGAGATGCGACCTTTGGCAAGTTACATGACTTCTGAGCTGCAGAGTCCTCATCTGTCCCCAGATTTGACCTGAGGAAGTCAGATGAGCGAGCCCGCTGGTGACTGCGTGCCAGGTGCAGGCTGGGGGTGGGGCTGCCAGCCCAGGACTCACGCTGCTGCCCTGGGGGCTACGACAGCCTTCCCTGGGGGCATGGACACAGTGGCTGACCACCGGGCTCTGCCCTCCTACCTCTCTCTGTCCAGTGCAATGTCCCAGTGGCAGCGAGGCGGCTGGTCCCTCGGCGGAGCTCAGGGCTGGGGAGGCTGGGGGTTCGGACGGCGGCTGCAGCAGGGTCAGGGGTATCTGTGGGGAGATCCAAGGTTGGTGTGGTGGCTCCCCACTCCTGGTGCGTGTGGCCAAGCTGCTGTCCCCAGGCCCTGGAGACAGGAGCCTCAGGTAGGCTTGAATGTGACGCAGGGTTAGCGGGCAGGGAGGGGTCCTGCCGTCAGGGGCCTCTGCCGTCAGGGGGCTGACAGCAGCGCAGTTGGGGTGTTCCTCCAGCTCTAGCGGCCTCCTTCCCCTTCCACAGAGGGGCCACCATGGAAGTCCCTTCCTGTTCTGGCCATGTGGGACCTAAAGGTGGCTGGGACATGGGTCTTGGGGAAAGAGTCCTGTGCCTGGTCTCGGCTGGAACAGTGAAACACGGGCCACCTCCCTCTGTCCCTTCTCCCAGGTACCCCCACTGACTAGGGGCTGCTTGCCCTGGCCCTGGGCCTCAGTGCCTGCTGGGCATCTGGAGAAGCTCCTTGGGGCCAGACCTGCCCACACAGGGACCTCCCTGCCACAGGGGTTCAGTCGCCAGGAAATCCATACTTCCTAAGTCTCCCACTCAAGGGCTCTTCCCATTGGATTAAATCTGGGAAACAAAGATCTACTCCCCGGGGAAACCCTAAGAGCCTCCGGAGGTGAAGAGTGGATCAGGAAGGGCTCCTTCTTGAGGAGGGTGTGGTGGTGAGCACCCCTGGGGGCTCCTTGCAGGGTGACCTCAAGTGACATCCTAGCAGGCCAGGATTTAGGACTAGCCACGGTGGACTGGAGGCCCTTGCACACACTGACCATGCACACAAAGCTACTGGCAACCCAGGGCCTGACCTCTGTGTGACCCCCAGCTCAGGCTGCCTTGGGCCCGGCCACACCCCTGCCCCTGGCCCAGAGAAGTCCTGCTGGAAGCCAGAAGGTCACCAGGGAGCTTGAAACAACAGGGCTTGCAGCTCCACCCGCGGGAGCAGCGAGAAGCGATGGCAGCTGGACAAGGGGCAGGGCAGGGCAGGGCCAGGCCTCCCCGGGGTGCAGAGGAAGGCACGGCCTACCTGCGGGAGGGAGCCTGTGGGCAGCTGGAGTCTTTGCTGCAGCAGGCCGCTCAGCAGCTGGTTCTGCCGCTCCAGGTCAAACACCCTCTTCTTCAGCTTGATGCACTCCTCCCGCAGGTCCTGCCGACGCGGGACAGGACAGGGACAGCGGTGAGCAGGGATGCCTGCGCTGAGCAGCCGTGGAACATCTGTCTCTGCCACGGGTTGGGCAGAGAGGGCTGGCAGCAGCACAGTCAGGGTGCTCCTCCCGCCCAAGCGGTCAGCTCTGCCACCTCGAGGGATGGCAAGACCACTGCAGCTCACCACCCCGCTGGAAGCCAACTACCTTCTCTGCCACCTTTCCTTCCAGCCCCAGGGCCATGAAGGTAGGGGTCTATTCCAGGCAAAGGACAACCCTGAGGTGACAGTGGCCCCTGTGCCAAGAAGCCACCCTTAGGAGGGAGTGGGCACGGGGATTCCACCTACCCTTACATTGGCATTGCTTTAGGGGTCACCACGACCCGAGGCGGGGGAACCCAGCTGGGGCCAAGGAAAGGGGAAGATGCAAACCCAAGCTTAGGGACCTAGCCCTTCCCAGACCCCTCCCCACCCTACCTCCGGACAGAACAGAATTGGGGACAATGCACACCCCATCCTTTGAGCCCCAGGGAAAGCTTAGTTGAGCTGAGCAGGTGCCAGGCCCCAGAAGGGCCTTCCCTAGACATTTGGGCATCCTCGGGCCACTTACCTTCTGATTCAGTAGGGCCTGCACCACGTGATTTGCAACCTAGGGACAGAAGGCCCCAAGACAGAGCTGTAACTGTCTGGCCTCCCAGCGTCTGCCTGAAGCAAACAGCTGTGGCCCCAGGGCAGACCCCACAGACCTCATCCAGGCAGCGCTCATATGTCTCCCGCTGGTTCTCATTGGCCTGGGCCAGCGCCGAGTTCTCTGCCTACAGCAGCAAAGGAGAGGTAGACTTGAGGACCCTTCTAGTCTCAACCACATTTCTTTAGGGGAATGGGAGGCCAGGAGTCTACCAGGTACATCCACAGGGGAGTTCTGCAGAAGGGCAGGGCTGAGACAGTAGCGTCTTTGACCCTTAATCCCCAGGTCCCCAAGCCAGACCAGGCAAGGGCAGTAAAGCAGGAGAGAGGGGCCAATGCAATGGCTCAATTGGCTAACTCGCCACCTGCAAGCGCCATGTGGGCTCTGGTTCATGTCCCAGCTACTCCACTTCCCTTCCAGCTCCCTGTTTGTCGCCTGGGAAAGCAGTGGAGAATGGCCCAACTCCTTGGGCCCCTGCATCCATGTGAGAGACCCAGAAGAGGTTCCCGGCTTCATATCGGTTCCGTTCCAACCATTGCGGCCATTTGGGGAATGAATCAGTGATGGAAGATCTTTCTCCCTGTCTCTCCTTCTCTCTGTAAATGTGCCCTTCCAATAGCAATTAATCTTTAAAAAGAAAGCAAATAAATAAGCAGGGGAGAAGAGGGGAGGGAACACTTCGGGAGAGCCTGCTCCCCTGAGCCACCACTGGGGTAGGAGAGCCAGGAGCAAGGACAGTGCCACTTGGAAGAACTCTGTCAAACAATGTATTCCGCATGGCTGGCCCGCCAGGCAGGTTCCGCCCCACCACGCCTGCACTGAGCTCAGACAGAGGGGCTGCCCTGCCTCAGTGGGCTTCAGCTGGCACCGTCCATGCTGCCCCACCCTGGGCCTCACCTCCAGCTCCTGCAGGCGCTGCAGAAGCTCCTGGCAGGTGCCCAGCTCCACACTGCCATCAGCACCCTCTTCCGGCCTTGGGTTTCCAGGACCTCCAGCCGGCTGGTCCATGGCCTCCAACGAAGAGCCCTGGGAAAAAGCAAGAGAACCCCGGAAGGCTACTCTGAGGCACGAGAGGAGGATAAAGATGAAAAGTCTAGATCTCTCAACCTAGGTTCCATGCACATTGTAACACAAGTCAGGGACAGGCTGGGAAGTTCCTGGGCATAGGATGCCACTTGTCCCATCTTGGAAACAAAGACCACTGTCCTGTGGACCCTGACACTGGCACCCGTCCCTCCCCCTCCCTTTAGGTCATCCAACTCTGGGCAAGGAGCCCAGCACCCTGCCTTCTCTGCTGGGCTTGTCATTCCGCTTCTCTGGGCCTCAGGCTCCCCACATGGGAAACAGAAATGTCACCTAATCTCACCCAGCATGCACACACAGATTCGGTCTGTAAAGCTAACCTGGTGACTTTGAGAAATCATTAAGACACAAGACCACTGCTAATCAAGCAGCAGTAACAGCTGAAAGCGGTCAGGGTTCTGTCCTGGCGAGCTGCGGTCCCCTACCTACCTTGGGGAGGACCAGGCTGGAGGTCTCTGAGGAGCCAGGGACAAAGTCTCAGCCTGGCTCTGCCTGGCAGAACTTGGGCAAACACAGGGGAACCTACGCAGCTCATTCACTCACTTGGTCAACCAGCTGGTCCTCGGTTCCCTAATTCTGAGAGATGGGCAGAAGGCTCCCTCCTTCTTGCCAGGTCTCGGGGTGAGGGAGACGTGGCCACCTGTGGGACAGGACCCTGAGAAACAGCCCCCACTGATGCTCTGCTCTGCAGTCCCTCGCTTCATCGCCTTGGGATCGGGAGGAGTGGGATACTGGTTCCAGGAGACCCCAGCAGATGGGTCTTTCTGTGCTGGGCTCCCTGGGCAGGAGTCTCTGGACACCACCTTCCAGCAAACTCCCCGGACCCCCAGCTGGCTGAGCCCTGGAGTATTCCTCAGGGCTCCAGGTCAAGTGCTCCTGTACAGCTTACATCTGCTTCCCGAGGGGCCTGGGAAGCTGTGGTCACTCCCTGGCCAAGCTCACACTCTCTTGTGTGCCACAGGGCGCGCTGACCGGGTCCTCACCTCCCACAGGAGCCCTGCATCCCTGTCTAGGCAAGCCTGGGGGCAGTTTCCAGTAGGTGGGAAACTATTGCAAAAGCGCAGCAGCTGGCCCGGCATGGCAGCCTAGTGGCTAAAGTCCTCGCCTTGCATGCATGGGGATCCCATATGGGCGTTGGCTCATGTCCTGCTGCCCCACTTCCCATCCAGCTCCCTGCTTGTGGCCTGGGAAAGCAGTTGAGGACAGCCCAAAGCCTTGGAATCTGCACCTGCATGTGAGGCCCGGAAGAAGCTCCTAGCTCCTGGCTTCAGATCAGCTCAGCTCCAGCCATTGCAGCCACTTGGGGAGTGAATCAGTGGATGGAAGACTGTCTCTCTTCCTCTCGACTTTCCAACAACAACAACAAAAAATCTTAAAAACAAACAACAAAAGGCAGTGGCTTCCTGTCCACCTGCTCTACTGCCTCTTTCTTACCCCTATGGAGCCCCTCTGCCCACTCAAGAAGGGGTTTAGAGCTCCTGTGACCACGGTAAAGGGGGGACCCAGCCAACTGGACACCTGCTGCTCTGTCTCCACAGAGGGTGCAGAAGCTGCCTGCCCGGCCCCTCTGTGGTCCCACCCCCTGCATGCATGGGCCCCAGAGCCCCTCACCTGCCTGCCCCCTGCCCCAATCTGGGGCGCACACTTCTGCAGACAGAACAGTCACCTGGCCTGCGGAGAGACACAGAGGGCTGCTGTCAGTCAGGTGTCCCACAAGCATGAGCACGGCCGCTGCCCGTGATTCAGGAGTTGACAGAAGAGACAGACACATGCCTGGATAAAGCTTCACTGCACGGTGCAAGGCAGGCAGACAGGGCCCTGAGAGGTGACAGCTAGCCACAGAATCCTGAGGGAGGGCCCTGGTGAGATTCCGGAACAGGCAAAGCAGGCAAGGCATTGAAGGCCAGTGGCAGCACCGGCTGGGAACCCCTGGCTAACAGCCCACACAGCGCACGGTGACCCACCCATAGCATACGCTGTCTCCCTCGGTCCCAGCAGACACAAAGTCAGGTGGCAGGCAGCCCCGGACACCAGCCAGAGGACAGGAAGCCACTTCTCCCACCCATGTGCCCAGCACTGCCAGCTGCTCCCCCACTGCACCCAATTCTAACAATCTCTGGAGGGGAATCCCAGCAAGCAGAGCCACCCCTGGCCCAGGGTTGGGCTGCTCAGTACCCTGGACAGGCCCGGGTGGATGGGCCCTGCGCTGGCCTCACCAGGGGTGCAGGATGCCTGTGGGAGCTTTGCAGGTAGACAGGGAGGAGCTAGAATTCTGCCTCTCTTTCCTTGACTTGGCGGTAGGGCTTAGAACACTCGAGCATGAAGGGCAGGGGGCAGGAGGATGGGATGAGATCATCCAGAGTCTGCCAGAACTCAGCCTTTCACACTACGGCAGACTAACACTGGCCCAGAGTGAAGCGTGAGGTGCAGCAAGCCTGCTGCCAAAGACCAGGCCTCACCTGCAGGGGTCTCCCCGTGAGCGCCCCGCCAGCCCCGCCAGCCCCGCCAGCCCCGCCAGCCCAGCTTGTGCTGCCCGCTGCCCCCATTCCACTAAGAGGGGACAGCTGGAAGTTCGGGGGCCAGTGATAACAGGAAAAGCGGGAGAGCTTCTGAGGTCACTCGGATGTAAAAGAAGTCCCATGACATGTTCACCATCCCACAGCAATCCTAAGGTCCTCCCCATTTTCATATTGTAGACATGTGACACGTATGATGTTGTGTGTTCATAGTAACACTTCTAGAAATGCATAAGTGGAAACTATTCAAGAAAGAAATAGCCTCCTTTTCCCTTCCCGCACACAGATAGGGGGGTTACAATGAAAAGAGGCCTTGGCTCGCTCCCCCGTTCAGCCAGCGCCCCTGGCCCTGCACCATCACTTACTGCTCCCGCTGGCCCCTGCCTGGGAGAGCCTGCCTCTGCTGCTCCCTGACTTCTCCCTGCATCCTCAACATTTATGTCCTAGAGAAGAAAGGGGCAGGCTGGTAAAGGTGGGTATGCCAAGGAGGGTGAGGGCAGGGCTCAGGCCGAGCAGCATGGGGCTCATGGCATAGAGTTGGGGGTGGAGGAGGGTCAGGACCTCTGCAGCCCACAGCCTGGTGCTTGGGTCTCACTTCCAGCTCTGCTCCCACTCACGGCCTCCTGGGAGGGAGCAGTGACGGCCCAAGGCATTGAGTCCCTCTCCCCCAACTCCTGGCTCAATCCCAAACTGGGCACCGAGGGCCGCTGGGGAGTGAACCGGGGGATGGTGACACTGCCTCTCTGCCTGTCTGGCCCTCAGATCAATACATACAGATGTAGAGAAAGATGACCATATACATGTACATATAACACATATACACGCCTGCACAAACAGCTACACGATACACATGCATACACACTTAACACATACATACACACGGATACACACTTAACACACACATAATGCACACAAACACAGCTACTCACATACATATACAATACACATGCACGCAGATGCACACGGAACACATGCAATACATACATATATAACAGATGCATATACGCACATGTATACACATACAGATAAAGCTAGGGGAGACTGAGGTTCTATGTTCTCCACACAAAACAGCAGCGGAAAAAAAGCGTGAGCACAGCTTAAATAACTACACCACAAAGGCACCCAGACTGGGAGGGTGGCCTGGCAGAGGCTCCTGGTGCAGGGCGGAATCCCACCCCACGCTGGGGTCACTGCCTCGTACCCTGGGCGAAATTCCACCCCAGAGTCTGTTTAATACCGGCCCCTCAGCCCTGCAGTGTGTGCCTGGACCGAGCCTGCAAAGACGCGTGGCCAGCCCCAGGCCAGACCTGAGGGCCAGGGAAGAGACCTGCGGCTAAACTCGCCTCCACCTCTGGCCTGGACCGGCCGGACAGTGACTGCTCAGCTGGCTTTGGGGTGGGATGATGGAGGGCCAGAGCAGGTGGGAATCTGGCCCGCTCTAGTCTGCCAACTCGTCCTCCTCACCACGGCACCCCTGCAGGAGCCCTCCCCCAGTGTTTCCCGCATGCTGGGTCTGGAATAAATGTCCCCACCAGGTCTTTGGCCAGGGCCTGATTCAGAAGGAGGTGACCTCAGTGCGGAGGGGACAGCCAGGGACAGGGCAAGGGGAGCTTGGGAATGCATCTCTAAGTTTTGGTCAGGCCCAGCTGCCTCTCCCCGCTTCAAGTCAGGACAGACCCCTTACTCCATCCTCCCCACCCCTGTACCAGGGCACAGGGGAGATGCACGGGTTTGGGAGCAGGGCCCAGAAAGCCAGCAGTCCCCAGCCGGGCCCTTGGCCAAGGCCTTCTGACCCCAGGAGCCCCGCACTCACCAGCTGTTCCCCGAGTCCTCTGGGGAACCAGGCCAGTGGAGGCTGGGAGTGGGGGGGCAGCAGGGAAAGGCAGAGCTGCTGGCCCCTTCCCTGCCCTCCCCAGCTGCCTTCTGGAATCTCTGTTCCCAGCCCCGGCCGGCTGTCACACCCAGGAGTGCACTTGTAAACAGCTCCTTCAGCACCCAAATCCAGTTTCCCAAGCCAGGAGCAGCCAGGGCGGGCCTGTGTGTGTGTGTGTGTCAGGGGGCGCGGGAATGTGTCTGAAGGCTTAGGCCTGGCTCCCAGAGCACTGTGGCCCGAGAGTGGCCACCTGACCCCTTGGCACAGGGCATCCCGCAGCAACCCTACGAATTCCAGCTGTCTCCTCTTCCATGGGGCTTAGGAGCAGCTGGGCATCTCCTTGCTTCCAACAGGCAGGCCAGGGAGATACCACAACCCCTCGGAGAGGCAGGGGTCTTGGGGAGGGGCCTGCAGCACCCCCCACCGACTTCCTCTTCATCTACAAAACTACAATCCCCTGCCCTTCCAGGCCGTGTCTGAGCCCCAGAGCCTTCCAGAGCTCAATGAGCCTCACGTACCCTCCCCAAGCCCTCCTGGGCCCTGTCCACCATATAACCCAACCACAAAAATAGCAGCTGCGGGGCTGGAGAGAGGGGAAGGGCTCTGAGACAATGGGTTTATTTATAGGGTCC